TAATTAAGCTCATGGGTAGCCCGTTTTTATCTCGACAATAACGTCTAAATACTGCGTTCTGGAGGACGTCCAGTCTCGACTTCTTTGTCGTTTTGTGAAACTCTGATCGAATTTTTTGCTCCAAGGAAAAAACGCAAAAAATATTACTTTAGACTACAACTCTGTCAAAAATAAGCACTAGTACAAAGGTAAAGCGGTTTTCTTACAGAATTAATTTATACTTCTACGTTAAGCCATCAGTTTTCTTGGCAAATCAAAAAATAACTTCAATTTACTAAATTTTCTATTTTCTGTGTAACCATTATACCTGAAAATATACAGGGTCGCTAGAATGTATCGAAACGGTTAAATATCTTAAGAACTAATTGTACAAATCAACTGAAATTTGATACAAATGTACAAGAAGTTGTGCTCTAATTATTCGTCAAAAAATTTCTTTTGCTTCATTTGTTTTCGAGATACAAGGCCAACCTGATTTTTTTTAGTGATACTACCAAATAATAATTAATGCATTTTTGAATAGTTTTTTTTTCTGAATTCATTGATATAGCACAGTCATACTTTCGTCTTGATTGAATTGGAAAAATAAATTGTTAAACAATAACAACCGACACCAGAACTAAACTTCTGTTTTCTACAAAAGATACTCAAAATGCTCTCCATTTACTTCCTGGCAGTAAAAAAGACGCTGAATAAAATTTTGTAGTGAGTTAATGAGAATTTCTGGACGAATCCTAGCAATTTCATTTGAAGTGTGAATCGGTCTATTGATATAAACGCGATTTGCGATTCTTCCAATAAGCCCACCAAAAACAGTCAAGTGGTGTCAAATCCGGTGACCGGGCAGGCCACTCAATAGTACCCCTTCGACCTATCTAACTGCCAGGAAAAGTTTCATTTAAAAAATGAGGTGGACCTCCGTCTTGTTGAAACCAAATAGTTTCTGCTAGTAACTTCGGATTTAATAATAAATACACTGAAGGGATGGAATTGGAAAAGTGAAACAAACAGACATACGGTGAGTACAACAGTTAGAAACGAGAAGATCAAATTAAAAGAACCTAACCTCCGAAGAGATAGTCTGGGTGAAGTTGTTATCACGGCGCAAGTAAACAAAACAGCTCCATACTGGCAATACAAGGGTCGGCAAGGAATGCCAAAAAATCACGTAGTTACTTAGAAAATACCAAAGAAAATTTAAAAGAGCAAGAGTTATTAAGGCGGAAAAGAGAACCCTTACTCTCACCGTCATCATCACCACAAAGTATAAAGGTACACAGAGACCCCAAGAGGCTAGCTACAAACAGCTGACGAAAGGATGAAATAAAGAAAATGTTCGAAAAGATAGTGGTATACATAGCGGAAATAAAATAAAATCAAAAAACATATCAGAAGGAGATACAAACATTAACCAAAGAAAACCAAGAAGTGAAAAAAAAATTGCGGAGAGTAGAAAAATGCGTAGAGAAGGCTGAAAAAAATCGAAAGAAAGAACAACATTGTAATTAAAGGTAGGAAAATACAAGGTAACGAAACATCAACAGAGCAATAAAGCACCCAGAAGGAGCAGTCGTCACGTTCAAACCGATCTGCGAAAAAGTGTGCTACCTGAGCTTGCAAAGCAGGTATAGAAAACTCAGCCTGATAAATATTCACGCACCGACGGAAGAAAAAGACCTAGAAACAAAAACAGAGTACTATGAAGAATTAGAGAAAGAATACCAGAAAATACCAAAATATGACATCAAAATTGTTATAGGAGATGTGAACGCCAAAATAGGTAAAGAATAGAGATATCGACATATAATCGGGAAAGAAAGTAAACATGAAGAAACAAACGAAAATGGAGAAAAGCTAATAGAATTCGCACTGAAAAATAGCATCATAGTAAAAAGCACAGTTTTTGCAAGCAAAGAAAGACATAAAAGCACTTGGATATGTCCAGATGGCAAGACGATCAACCAAATAGACAAAAGAATTAGTCACCAACATAAAAAGTTATAGAGGGGCTAAATCAAGTACACACCACATTTTAGTAATAGCACAGAAAGAAATACCAAAAAAGGAAAACACTGACAGGGTACAACGGGACATAGATTTAAGACCATTCAAAGAAGAGGGCATACAACAACAGTACGAACAAAAACTGACAGACAGCACAAAGAAAAACAGAAAGACAGACTCGCTAGAAGAAAAATGGGAAATGCTACAAAACAATATATAGACTACCACAAAAGACGTAATAGGATTCAAGACAAGCCATACGAACAAAGCCGAATGGTTTGATGACGAATGTAAAACAGCATTAGACACTGTAAGAAAAGCAAGAGAGACGTACATGAGAACAAGAAAAGAAGAACATCAAAAACAGTATCAACAAGAAAGAAGAAATTATAAGAAAAGATGCAGAAACAAAAAACGTACGAAGAAAACTTCTGTAAGAAATAAGGAATTTTTACCAAGATGTCAAACGAGAGAAGAAAGGTTACCAACCAAAAGTAATCTATTACAAAGATGAAGGGAAATTAATAGGAGACGAGCAAGCAAGTGTACAACGATGGACAGAATACTTCGAAGAACTATTAAACGAACGGAACACAGATCAAGACATAGCGAACTCAGTAACAATAGGCGATAAGATCAAAACGAAATAAGCGAGCCAGACTTACAAAAAATCGACAAATACTAAAGCAAATGAAAAACTACAAAACTCCAAGCAGCAATGGAATAAGACCTGAGATGTTGAAGTATGGAGGAGGAGAAGAATTAGTAGAAGAAATATGTCGACTGATAGTAGAATGTTTGGAAAAGCGAAAAAATAGTTACCTGAAATACTAGACGAAGATACTAGCTAAACAGAAGGCTCAAACAACACATGAAAGGAGCTGTAGGAGAATACCAGGCAGGATTTAGAGAGAACAGGTCAACCATAGATCAAATTTTCATACTAAAAGAACTCCAAGCAGTGCATTACGAGCAAGAGATTAACCTGTACCTACTGTTTATAGACTTCACGAAAGCCTATGGTACAATCAATAGAAAAGAATTACTGACAGCCATGCAAGAGCTAGAAATACCAAATCAGATGATTAGACTTATCGTAATGACGATAGAAAACACAAGAAACCGTGTAAGAAGTAATGGAATACTATCCCAGCCATTCCAAGTAATCACCGACTTACGACAAGGAGACTCCATGTCAACCACTTTTTTCCGTCTAGCACTGGAGGTAATAATTAGACGAAGAGAAATCCATAGATCAGCACCAAATATGATAAAAGACATCAGAATCTAGCATTTGCAGATGACTTAACGTTCGTAACGAGAACAGTAAGCGAATTAAAGAAAATGACAGTTAACCTTATCTTATCAGAGAAGCAAAACGGATGGGACTAACGATAAACGAAATACTTAGGAGTAGTAATCACCAATAAGAACGAAATCAAAGAAGAGATAGAAAAACGCATTATTAAAGGCAGTATGAACTTAGGAAGACTAAACAAGTTCCTTAGAAGCAAAAATGTAACACGACAGACAAAGAAACAAGTATACAAAACGGCGATAAGACCTACAGTACTATATGGTTGCGAAACTTGGACTCTAACAAAAGAATGGGAACAGAGATTAGAGATTTGGTAGCGAAAAATACTACGAAAGATATATGGAGGTATCAAGGAACAAGAACAATGGAGAAGAAGAACAAATAAGGAATTACAAGAAGTATATGGAGAATCTAAAATTACCAAAATAATTAGAGCACAAAAAATCAGATGGTTAGGTAACATAGGAAAAGAATCTGAGGATAGAACTATCGGGAAAGTGTTGAACCGTCTACAAGGTGGGAAGAAAAAGAAAGGACGACCAAAACTGAGATGGCTGGAAGACATGAAAAAGGATCTACGGGAAATGGGTATCGAAGACTGGAAAAGCAAAGTAGCACAATTGCAGGAGTATCTTACTTTTTTAATTGAGATTTACTACCACAAATTTTGTAGATGACATCATCCTGGTGTTAGTGGAGATGATTAGGCAAATTTTGGTTTTACACGTTGTTCCTAACTTACATATAAAATTCAACAACAATCTGTCCGGTGGGTTTAGAGATTAATTACCTACTTTTTCGTACGCTAGGGGTCATGAATCGTCGTGAAAAGATGAAAGTAGTCAGTCATCCGATGGACTCAATGAAAATATTATTTAGCTTACACTAGGAAAGTAAAAAACGGGAAGCAATAAAAGAAATTGTGGAAAGATATCCATTGGAAAACCTGTACAAGTACATTCAAAATATGTTGCACATTTTAAGTAAGGTGAATCGGAAACAATTTGGCAATGGTGGCATCAATTTGGGGGGAAAGGGAGATAAGGCTGTAGGATTTTGATGTTTTTCCAAAAATCTGGATGTCTCCGGTGAAAACTGAACCAAGGTTCATACACCATAAATGCAGGAATATGTTATTTCATAAAACTTAAAAAAATTTAAAGACCCTTATAAGTTAAAACATATAGATAATAACAGATACAGTATATACAAAAAAAAACATCTTAATGTAATTTCAACCACACGGTAACCGGTACGACACCGGCGCTCCGCTTATATTACTATTATTTTATGTGATAGATTCATAAACCACAAGTATGGGAACTTGTTATTTTATAAAATTTACATGACATTTATTACTTTGACAAATTATGAAGTCACGTCATCGGATTGTTAGTGGGATGATTAAATAATTTTTGGTTAATGTTTTACCGTCCACACGATATGTACCTTAAAATTAGACATCAATCAGTCCAGTACTTTCGGAGATTACCTGTCTAATAAAATTCAAAGGACATGACAGGCAGACAAAAACGGAAAACCTATTTTTTCGTATTCGAATCATACGTAGGTACAAATCATCATAACAACGATGCTTAAAATGTAATTAATTAGAAGTACATTTTAAGCACCGTTGCTTTTCATTAAACGATTTTTACTTCCTTAGCTTATGCTTAGCTCATGTAATCGAGTCCATCGGGCGGCTGGTTGCTTTCATATTTTCGCAATGGGTCATGAACCCTTGAGGTAGAAAAATGGGTCGTCCGTTTCCGTCTGTATGTCTGTCTGTCTGTCTGATTGTTGTAAAATTTGTGTATGTGAATATCATGTAGATGATAAAATGCTAACCAAACTTTGTCTAATCATCCCCACCAATAATAATAATAATAATAATAATAATCTTTATTTGCCCAACAGATTAGAAAATCCAATTACAGGACAAAAAAACAAAAATTATAATGCATCGTAATACACACAATGTAACGGATGTATGCACCCTATGGATAATAGAACATAACAAAAAATAAAATAAAATTCAGAGAAAAGAAAGATGAAAGTAAACTAAATAAATAATAATATTAAATATAAGATTAACTCAAGTTACATTATTCATTATTACTGAAAAAGTAGCTAGCTGCATGCAATATCTCAGATAGCAATGAAAAGTTCAAATCAGAAACCAAGGAAATTTGATTAAATAAATACGACATTACATAGATTGGTGACTTAATTAACAAAACCGAAACGTTAAATTGGATTTAGTACTTACTCGAGGTATGTGAAAATCAAACGGTGAAATGAGATGTGCACAATCTATTTTTCCATGGAATCAGAAATATAAAAACTTCAAACAGGCAATCTTACGTCTAAACTCTAACGTCTTAAAATCAAATTTTGACAGAAGGGTAGCGTGGTCGAAGCCTCTTTGCGGATAGATACTGAAAGCCGTAAAATAGAGAAATTTCAAAAATATTCGTTGTACTCTTTCCAAAGCGTTTTTTTGACAATAGTAATACGGCGTCAAAACAATACAACAATATTCTAATTTAGATCTGACATAAGAGTAGTATACTTGTTTAAGAGTTTCGATATCACCAAATACTTTACATTTCCTTATTACAAAACCCAGCATTTTTAAAGAAGAAGTAGTGATATGTGCGATGTGGTCATCAAAAGTGAAACTACTGTCAAATATAACTCCTAGATCTTTAACGGCGTTACATCGGATTAAAGATGCGTTACAGATACTGTAATCAAGTGAACAATATTCCTTTTTGCGGGTGTAACTAACCACATGACATTTAGTTATGTTGAGCGGCAACTTATTTTTGACACACCAGGTTACAATCTTCTGTAAAACATTTTGCAGTAAAATGCAGTCTGTAATAGATGTAACTTTGGAAAAAATCTTGAGCTCATCAAAGATCAAGTCTCAAAATATCTGTGATGTCATTGATGAAAAGTATAAATAATAACGGACCAAGATTAGAGCCTTGGGGCACGCCTGAACAGGGTGTAACATCATAAGGTTTAGAATCGTTGTATGTGACGTATTGTTTCCGGTTGCTCAAATATGACCTAAATAATAAGATTAGGGATTCACTGAAACCAAAAGCGTGTAACTTTTGCAACAGAATTTCATGGTTAATCTTATCAAAAGCGTTTGAAAAGTTCGTATAAATTACGTCTACTTGCCCTTGATTGTCGAGCACATTTGCCACGTACTGGGTAAAGCAAGAAAGATTTGTTGCTGCAGATCTTTTGTCCATGAACCCATGTTGTTGTGGAGATACAAACTGTTTAATTTGATTATAAATGCAGTTATACCGGGTGTCTGGAAAATGGCGGATTAACTCTCCCCTACGCTCTTAACAATCAACTGGTGAGTCTGGGAAAAATAGTAAAAAAAATCCTTCTCACATTTTGGTGGAGTTATAATTATTTTAAAATTGGTTCTTTTGCTACGTTTAACAACAGCTCATTCATTATCACAATATTTAACAAGTAATAAAATTTTTAGTTAATATTTTTCTCGCCCATGACCATGTTTAATTACCATTTCAGTTAGATTGAACAAAGATATGGCCGTGTTGTTTTTGTAATAATTTGATAAAATTTCATTTGACAACAATGTTTGCGTGATATACAGCGAAGGTGGATTTCAGTCACCATCGTTACTAAGAAATCAAAAAGTAAGCTGGACGTATTCACGCATTAGGGGTGTGCAGTGTTGCCAATTTTTCTTTTATAAAATTACGTTTTTTTCGTAATGTACATCATAAAGAATATTTTTATTATATTTTTGGGACTCCCGAAACCCCCGTGTATAATGTACTGAAGAGTTAATCCGCCATTTTCCAGACAGGCGGTATAGTCTTTTCAAAAATGTTCGCAAAATTATTGAGAACGGAAATTGGGCGGTAGTTAGAAATTAATGATGGATTGCCTGTTTTTAGCACTGGACAAATTTTGGCAATTTTCTAGGTAATTGGAAAAGTGTTAGCAAATAGTGCTAAGTTAAATAAGATGTGAAGAGGTTTGAGCAAAGCATATCTGCAATCTTTAATTAGATAGCTTGGTATTTGATCTGGACCAGCTGTTGGTTTATTTTTTAAACTTTTTAATGCTGATATAATTTCATCGAACGTTATATTAGAAACAAGCACATGTTGGGGAGAATGGTTCAGCTCAGGGGACACGTTGGCTGAGATACCTTAGTATCAGGCACAGCATATACACTCTTAAAATATGAAGCAAAACTGTTCACTATATCAGGAATTTCATGCGAACTATGTTTTTCATCGGTTACTACCTCTGGAATTCTAGTACTTCCCTTTTTGTTTTGAATATGCTTCCAAAGTTTTTTTGGATCAGCTGAAATGTTATGTTGCACATTATCAATATAAATCCGATAGGCTGCAGACATTTGAGCCTTAATTAGCGATCTTAAATATTTGAACTTTTGTAACTGGAATGCATCACCGCTTTTTTTATATCTTTCATAACATTTAAATTTGTTTTTTATGATAATTATTATTTCTTTGCTGTACCATAGAGGATACGAACAAGAAAAGCATTTGTTTCTATAGCATGGGACATATAGCTCGAATACAGAACATATTTTATTATAAAAAGCATCACAAGCCTCGTTGACGTCAGTGAATTTTTTTAACTCAGACCAATCAAGATTCAAAATAGCATTATAGAGCTTTGGAAAGTTTGCTTTTCTAAAGTTATACACTTTAGAGTTAGAAGCACAAGGAAAGTTGTTATTAATTGGTTTAATTAATGTAAACTCAATCAGCAAAGAGGGATGATGACCGTTTTCAGTAAGCAATGGACTGCACTCTCGTGACACATTACCTTGAAAATCACTAATAACTAAATCAAAGCAACGGTTATTGTTATTAGTAACAGTACTAAATTGATCATAATTACAATAATGTAGAAAGTTAACAATTAACTCCGATTTCGACTCTTTTTTTGTGCTGTTGAAAAAATTTGGTACATTGAAGTCGCCTAAAAGCAATATATTTTTTTTATCAAGTACAAAAGACTCAAAAAGTTCTGGATTTCTTGCCTTGATAGTCCAATACATGCAGAGTGATAAGGTTTCTTGCACGAGTCACAAATAATCTTGTCATTATCTTACGTAGTTTTTTTGCAAATTCCACACACATCACCTCAAAATTGTGCATAGTAACTGGGTTTTAAATTGTATAATATAAAATAGTCCTATGCGTGTAGTTTGTGAATTCATGTTGACTTTTCACCCGAAACGTTCAGGTTTTTATAAAAAAAATCAAAATTATATAACAACATTGTGCAATTTAATTTTGAATCTGTAAAACCGAACGCTTCGAAATGTTGCAGATGTTTTAAAGTTATCATAGGCATCGTATATTATTAAACAAATTATATTTGTTTCCTTCCCTCTGCCCACTAAAAAAAAATTAATGACGTCAGCTCAAAATTTTGCCAAATAAATCCTATCTAAAATGTACACTTGTGATTTATAATTCCATTCATATTTTTTTAGATTTGCTTATACAGAGTAATTCAAAAAAATTAATAAACGAATCAATTTATTTTACTGAACAAATCAGGAACTGCAAAACCAAATACTTGAAATCCTACAAACGTCTCCCAATCATGGTAAATCATTTATCAAAATGTAACCATTTATCCCTCCCAAAAAATGTATGACTTCATCTCAAAATTTTCGAACAAATCTATCAAAATCCATTAAAAAAATGTGCGTTGCAGTTTAAAAAAAATAGGTTTGCATAGTGACGCCGACGCTATATACGCTGTATAAGCGTCACATTTGCTATGTACTAAATTAAACTTTCTATTCTCAAAATATAAAGCGGCAGAATTTAAATGGAACACTCTGTATACACCGACACTGATATGTGAACTCAATTCTTTTGTTTCTCTCTCTCGAGATTTTGTATTTATTCGTGTTATTTACGACGCCTAATTATAACAAGATCTTGGGTATAGTTAGGACATTGTAGACAACATGAACAATTTAAGATTTTGATTAATACGATAATAAATAACACATCAGAATCAAGATACGATAATCTTATTCAGTATGTTGGACCTCTTGGACCACCACCAGGTTTCAGATCTTGGACTTCGATCCAGTTTTTCACCCTCAGTGGAAACTTCTAATGTGGAGAAACGTCTTGTTTACCCTAGAAACTCAAATTCCATTAGATAATCCGAATGATGATTTAAATTTATAAAAAGGCAGAGTTTCCATTTAAGCACATACCTACTAGTCAGTCAAAAAAAGTCAGAAGTCAATCTCATATTTTTTACTAGATCGACTCCTAACTTTTTTTTTGTATAATACACACTAAAAAGTAAATGGTCCCTAATTTTCGCAATTAACCATGATATTAATCTAAATATGACCAAATATACAGTCATCTTAAAAACCCCACGGTCGAAATATTTAAGCTGTTCATTATTTTTGACAAAGCTAACAGGTCGAATGAAATAAATACACGAAAGTGTAATGATAGGCAAATAAACACCTAAAACATTAGGTAGTGAAAACCCACTAAATTAAAATTAAAACAAATTAAATCAAAAAGAATCGAAGAAAAGTTACAAGAAGTAACAGATTAACTTTATCAATCGAAAATAACTGCTGCCTGACTAAAAAAAGAAGCGCAAATTTCCGCATTTTATCATGTGTTCATTCAGGTACTTAACTGCGTACTTAAAACAACATTTCTAATACAAATTAAAAACAATGAACATATTTGAATAAAGATATCAACACAACTACGTCACAAGCTAAGCTTCCGTCGTATGAAATTTATTACCTACATAATACAGAAATTATCTGATCTGGAAATTCCAAATACGACAGCTAAGTATTTCTCAATAACGAGAAACCAAGAGCAAATAAAACTTAAATAATCACTCAAGACAATTGCATCCTTGACAGTGAAAATCTGATCTGTTTACTTTAATTATGTTAAATAAACATCATTTTTTTTGTTTATATGTATTAAATGAAAACTATGCTGAGTTTTAGATTATTTTTCTTTAAATACCTAAATGGTGTTCAAAACTTAGTGCTGTAACACTAATATCTGTATCATGGAGATGGAATATTTGGTATCTCCATGATCTTTGTGCAAATATAGAAATAGTAAAAACATTCCATTGTCAGTTAAACAGTACGATTTTAAATGAATCTGGTCAGCAAATTCCATTGTTGACCCTAAAATAAATGAAAGTGATAGTAAACAAAGCGACTAAGTACCTACCGTTTAATTGCGAAAAGTTATTAGCGAAAGCGAATATTTTATCTTGAAATAATCGATTCCATTATCTTTTTGTTTGAATAAATCTTAATAGTTTTTTTAATTAAGTAGTGAATCGTATTATTAACAATACAGTGATTCATGACGTCATGAATAATAATGAAGCCGACAAAATTGTGAACGCACCCCAAGAGACTTCAAAACTTTGTTAACGGTGTTTAATATTTTTGCTAAATTGAATAATAAATCAGTGAAACGTCTCATATTATATGTTTTCAACTTGCTAAGACTCAATTATTAGTGGTGAATCACTCTGTATGTTAACAAACATCATTCAAATACACTCGCTTGTATATTTGGTTGCCTACGTTGATTTTATTGATGTTTTATGGCTACTTGATTTTCTCGAGTTTCTAATATATCATATAAACAAACATGGCCGGCAAAGGTAAGCAAAAATGTTTTCCTGAACAATAAATTTCATCATTTTAAATCATCCAGGGTGGAATTACATGTCTGGAGCTCCAGAGACCGACGAACAGCAACGTTTACGTTTTCAGATCGAATTAGAATTCGTTCAGTGCCTAGGAAATCCAAATTACCTCAACTGTGAGCAACATAACCTCATTTCGTAAGATTGTTTACTAAAGTTTTCATTTTAGTTCTCGCACAGAGGGGTTATTTCAAAGACAGTACCTTCGTCAATTATTTAAAGTACTTACTTTACTGGAAGGAACCAGAATATGCCAAATACCTGAAATATCCGATGTGTTTGTATTTCCTCGATTTGTTACAGTACGAACACTTTCGAAGAGAGTTGGTGAATGCACAGTGCTCTAAATTTATAGATGATCAACAGATTTTGTTGTGGCAACATTATACAAGGCGAAGGAGTCGATTATTGACTCCAACAAACACAAATGGAAATGTAGAGCAGAATATGAGCAGTCAGAACAATAATCAAAGTAATGGACACATTAATAATAAAATTAGTTAGCAGGAAGGTTAGTTATATCTTGGTTATTATAAATTGTTACTTTATTAAAAATTTAATATTACGACAAATTATTACCAATCAAAACTCCCATCCTTTTCATTAAGAATTTTAAGGTATGACATACCTATTACCAATAAACAAAATGCAGATGTTGCTCATTGCTGCCAATGAAAAATTAAGTCCGTTAAATTCATTACCAACATGAGCAACCAAATTTCCTTATGCCTTATTGGTTGCTGTGTTTTCTTGTTTTTTTAATTTTTAAGTTGATAACGTAAAATAGTGGGAAAACCAATGAAGGAACGTTTACGTGATCCAAAACAGTATTCCAAAGAAATGGTTGATATCCTTATTAAGTAACTGTATCAATATATTCCGTTGTCCGTGTGACCTACCATCTAACGGTACCGGCAGCGTAGTGTACCTGAATATAATTAACTTTCAAACCAAATGTGTAAAACACGTTACTTATATGTTCTGTATATTAATAGTATTTGACATGGTTCATTTTACAAGTCATCAATCATTTCGTGAATCATTTTAATTCTACCATTCTTATAGACAAGATATACATACTTATCTATGTAAAATGAAGACGTTAAAAGTTATAATTCTGTTGTTTGTGATAGTGTCATTTTTGTGTGTGAATGAAGCGAAAAAACGGAGGCGGAAAAATGTTAAAGGCATGATTTTGCGACAGAAGGAGACCAATGCAATTGATTTTCTCAGGTAGGTAAACTTACTTTTTATTTTTATTTTCGTAAGTTATGTTTGCCTTTGTAGATTAACTGTAATGAGAGTGATTTTTGGACTGGCAAATAGATTTGGTTTTGGAGAACAAATTTCAGAAGCTTTAAACGGAGCTTTTGTGCCACCCGGTGTGGATGACGATTATGACGATGGATTTTCGTTATTTGACCGTGACGATGACTATGACTATTAATTGACGTGTGACTGTATAAGCTTTTATTTATTGTACAAAATATTTAATAAATTGTTATTTTTAATGTTCTCAGATTTTTAGTTTTTAAAAAAGAGTGACTGGGAAGTTCCAAAGTCAATTACTTAGAATTTATTTCTAGCTTTGTAAAACGTGCACAATATTCAATATAAATCCACAGAAGAAATGTTGAAGTCTACCGTAGTGTGTGTAATATTAATAAATAAGAAACTATTTCATTTTCAACCTGATTTGAAAGAATTAGATTTGACATTTAGTAAATTTTGCCGCCTCTTTATGATGATGGATCCCCTGCTACATGCCACAAATGTCAGTTGTCACGTAATTTTCTGGAGTCTTTTGGTGATTTTGCTCAATTTAGCTGTGACAAATTTTATAGAATAAACTAGATGTAGGTACAATATTTTATAGTTTGCATAACTTCTCCAAGCGAACATCAAACCAGAAAATCCGCAAGTTCCATTATTAAATTTGAAGTTTAAATCCTTTCGAAAATGTGCAAAATATGATCAGACTATACTTGTAATTTATCAGTGCAAACATCTCCAGAAGAAAGACGTTTCTAGTTTGCAGACCACAGTTTATTTTGCAGACTGGGTGTTAAAAATACTCCAATTAAGTCAAAACTCGAGATTTGCTGATTTATCAATACGAAGATTGTTAATACAAAATTTCAATCCGTTCGGAGAAACCGTTAAAAACTACCCCTAAAACAACCTTGCAGACTAGGACTTAAAAATACTCCAGTCAAGTCAAAACTCGATATTTGCTTATTTATCAAAACGAGGATTGTTGATACAAAATTTCAATACATTGGGAGAAATTCTTAAAAGAAACAGACTAGGGATTAAAACAGCGTCGGACTGGCTCGCCCGGCTACCCGGTGATCGCCCTAAAAGCTCAGGGTCCCTAACGAATCACTTCAAAAAATTATTTTATTATTTAAATTTAATTTATTCTTCTATTATTTTATTGTTAATTATTATTAATTAATTTATTAATATTTAAATTTAAAAAATGTATAAATTACGAATATACGAGCATTTGTTATAGATACGTGAATTAGCCAATAACACGTGACGTCACGCTGTGGCGGGAACTCAGCGTTTGACAAGCGCCGTGAAACTCCATAAGTGGCAATGTTAACATTTTCGCATTTCATTTAAAAGTGTAGGTATTTATCTAGAAAATAAACACATGAATAGCTTCTTTCATATCTTTTCTGTATATCAGGGTGCTTTTTTTGGCGATTTGAGTTTAAAAATACATAATAAAAATAAAAATACAGAACGCTGTTTTGGTCTGAATTCCTCGTCACCCAAAATACATCCGTGTGTTTTAAGCGGTAAATCGGAAATTAATATTTTCGTTTGAGGTTAATGTGACGGGTTTAAGTGAAGGTGTGTGATTTGTTTTTAAAGTATGGATAATTTAAGTGATTATGCACATCGTCTTTCTTTCAAAGAGAAAAACAGATGTGTACAAAAGTTAAATAATTTAAACGGCGGAGATCCTTATATGTACAATGAGTGCAAGTGATTTTAATTTGTGTTTAGACCATGTCCCTACCATAACAATGAATACCATTCTAAACTTTTTTATTTTTGGAATAAGTAAAATAACCCACAATGAAATTCGTGCATTCAAAAGTCTAGAGGCATTTATTCAGTTTTCTCTTTTTTAAACAACTGTGTCTTTCAAAATTACAAGTATTATGAGTGGATTTATTTTGATATCCTAAATTTTGTGATGGAACATAATCAGGATGGTCCACATCCGACAAATCTGCAGGTTTACCTAAAAGAGCACCAATGTAGTAATTTATTAGAAACTGTAAATCTAATAGGTAGTTACTGTACCTAAAATAAAATGATCTGAACAAACATAGGAATACTTTACTTTGGCTTCGTTAAATCCACTCGTTTCAAGGCTTTTAACCAAAGCTTCCGCTTTTTTTTCCCATCCTGTATATATTTACCTTTATTGTTGCTAATTGCTGGGAAAGGAAAATAAAATTTGTCCGCATTTCTTGTGCTTCGATTCGCGCAACCCACAACAGCACAAAATTTAGGCATTTTCTCCTAAAATACAAAATATTATGTGGAAATGACTAACACCAGGTAGGGTTTCTCTATAGTTTATTTACAAACGGATATCTTACACGTGGAACAGGAGACGGTACCCATCTTCTTCGTTTCGATGTCGGCGGCAGAAGAGAGTACTTGCCGTACTCGCGCCTCCTTGTGTCCCCAGTTGGTCTCTGCGTCGGCGCCAGGCTAACCAATCACGAGTGGTGTTCGGTGAGCATATTGAGTTGCCTACTCGTAGGCGAGAGGAAGTAGTACGTGTGCGTTGTGTTGCCTACATTAACATCACAGCAACGCCACATACCCCCCCCCAAGTAACGGGTGACAGCTGTCAAAACGGCTGTCAGTTGTCATTCTCTGAAACGTGCGGGGAGCGTTGACCTGCGGCCTGACCTGGTGGTTTGAGTAACTTCCTGTGTTCGTACTGGGGATGGAGCCGGTGGTGGTTCTGGTTCTTGGAGAATAAAAGCGGGTTTTACTCTGTCGATATTCACTGTTGTTTCCCTACCGCCTACATTGACCTTTATTGTCTTAGCAGTACGAGACAGAACAAGGTGTGGACCGGTGTAGGGCTGTTGGAGCGGTCTTCGCACGGTGTCGTCTCTTAGGAAAACATGGCTACATTTACTGAGCTCTGTGTGGACGAAGGTGCTTTGCCTAATGTGGTGCGACGCTGGAGTTGGGCGAAGTTTCCTCATGTGGTCCCGTAGTTTTTCTACAAAGGTAGTGGGTTCTACGGATCTGTCGATATTGCTGAAAAAGAATTCGCCTGGGACTTTCAGTTGCGTTCCGTAGGTCAGCTCTGCTGGTGAGTGACCGATGTCTTCTTTGATGGCTGTACGTAACCCTAATAATACTGTAGGTAGAACGTCTAGCCAACTTTCTGCTTCATGGCACATGATGGCTGCCTTCATGGTTCGATGCCATCTCTCGATAAGGCCGTTGCTCTGGGGCCTATATGGCGTCGTCCGAGAGCGCTGAATGCCCAAAATTTTCGCCAAGGCATTCATGGTGGATGCTTCAAATTGTCGCCCTTGGTCGGTTGTAATTTGTCTTGGGCAACCGAATCTTGAAATCCATGTTTCGTAGAATGTCTTGGCGACTGTCTCTGCGGTCATGTCGGTCATGGGTGCGATCTCTGGCCACCTGGTGAAACGGTCAGACATAGTGAGGCAATACCTGTAGCTTTGAGAGGGAGGTAGCGGACCTACTATATCGATGTGCACATGTTGGAACCGTTCTGTGACGTCATCGAAATGCTGTAATGGGGCTTTGGTGTGTCGGCCAACTTTGGATCGCTGGCAAGGGATGCAGCTTCGTGCCCACTTCATTATGTGACTCTCCATAAATGGCCACACAAATCGCTTCTTGATGAGCTTACTGGTCGCTCGGCCGCTGGGGTGTGAGAGGTTGTGAAATCCTTCAAAAATTACTTTTCTCGAATCTTGTGGAACGTATGGTCTAACCACCCCCGTTGACGTGTCACACCAGATAGCTTTCTGGCCGGCCTGTGGGGTGAGTTTTTCTAACCGCAGGCTTGTTGTATCAGAGTTTAAAAGTGCTTTTAGTTCGGCGTCTTTTTCTTGTTCCTTGGCTAAGTCGTCGGTGTCAATGAACGTAGGAGTTGTGATTTCATTGACCCTTGAAAGTGTGTCTGCAACTGTGTTTTGTTCTCCTGAAATGTGGATAATGTTGGTGGAAAACTGGCCGATGAAATCTAGCTGCCTGACTTGTCTTGGGGATGCTTTGCCTGCTTTCTGCTGAAACGCGTAGATGAGGGGTTTGTGGTCGGTGAGTATGCAAAAGTCTCTGCCTTCCACCATGTGCCTGAAGAATTTTATGGTTTCGTAAACTGCAAGCAGCTCACGATCGTATGCGCTGTAGTTGCGCTGCTCCTTGCTAAGTTTTCTGGAGAAGAAACCTAAAGGTTGCCAGGTCCCATTGGAGTGCTGCTCTAGTACGCCCCCGATTGCGTAATCAGAAGCATCGGTGATAATTCTGAGCGGCAGATTTTCGGCGGGATGTGCCAGAAGCGCGGCGTTGGCTAACTCTGTCTTGCACGTTTCAAAAGCGGCTTCAGCTTCTTCTGTCCACTCGACTATTGTTTTGTCATTCTTCCGCGCGTTGTTCAGATATTGGTGAAGTGGTGTTTGGGTCTGGGCTGCGTGGGGAATGAAACGTCGGTAGAAGTTGATCATGCCAAGGAACCGTCGCAGATCTTGAACTGTCTTTGGTTTGGGGAATTCGCGGATTGCACTGACCGACGTCTCAAGTGGTTTGGTTCCACTCCCGGAAATCGTATATAAATATTTCACTTCGGCTTCACCAAACACGCACTTGGTCGGGTTAATCACTATGTGATGCTCCCGTAACCTAGAAAATAACATTTTTAGATGTTCGACGTGCTCTGCTTCATCTCGGGAGAACACTAAGATGTCGTCTATATACACGTAGCAGAAATCAAGGTCACTTATTAGAGAGTTCAGGTGTCTTTGGAAAGTCTGTGCGGCATTACGTAGTCCGAACGTCATAACTGTAAACTCGAAGAGCCCGAACGGAGTGCACACGGCTGTTTTAGGAACGTCTTCTTCAGCCACGGGAATTTGATGGTATGCGCGCACTAGGTCTATGGTGGAGAACACACTTTTA